GAATGACTGGCTTCGGTACTCCTGGTAAAGGTGCAGCCATTGGTGATAGCGAGGTTCATTTCCATGGAGGCTATGGTAGAGGTCGACCTATGTAAATATATCTTAATATATTGATGCTGGAATCAGTAAAGCCCTTCTTCTATTTAAATGGTGTATAGGTGCTCGACTATATCGATCTAGTAAATGCTGAGGACAGTCATATATCGAGGGCGATCGTAGAGACAGTTTTGGGTTGTCTATGGTCAAGTAGTGTCAATAGGCACCCAAAAATAAGTAAACAGTACTAGATTTAGTGCCGAAAAGTCCAAACACCCATAATGTTCCTTAATAATTTGTATACTGACCTACTTTAACAGCTGAGTAAGTTCTAGGTTAATCGATCAGTAACTGCACTGATGCCTCAGTCGATACAAATTTCCAGATCTCTAAATACCGTCTGATTTTGTTCGACCGAACTCTAGGAAAATTAGAAAGATGGAAAACCTCTTGTTATCACCAGTATCAGTGTGGAATTTCGAACTCGAGATACTGTATCAGATTCAGCAGTAGCATGTGGGTGTTAGTGTAGGTTTATCTGCTTGTCAGGTGCCATTTCATACTTTATCTCCCTGCTCGTATTATGTTTACGTAGGCGTTCGATAACTCGTTTGTGCTCAGGTGTGCATGCTTCAATGTGTTACTCTTAGTAAATTCAAAACATGTTAAGCTTCAAAGTAGATCAAATGTTAGTTTGCAGGCCCTCGGTGCATGCGGTTGCGTTACTAGTTATTACATATGTTGATTACTAGTGACAGATTTGCTTAGTGTCCTATCTTGTCTAACGAAACATCTTAAACAATGTATTGAGTACGCTATTTTCGGTTGTATATAACTTTCCTGAAATGCAGTGTCAATATGGTACTTCGATTGCATTATTAATATGGAGTCAACCTGCATGAGGCTTGATATTAGGCTCTTGATTTCCTTGATCTTGATAATTTAAACGGACTGTTAATTAAAGCGTGAATAGTGGTTTCAATAAATATCGTCATTTCATTCTATTTGTGTGTTCAAATAAATAAAATAATTTTGACGGACAATTCTTGTCACAAACTAATACGTCTGTGCCTTTACCTTTTTCTTCCCTGTTGGGCTCAAAAAATGTATTTGATTTAATAATGGAAGCTTTGTTGGTGATGACCACAATAAAGTTAAAAGTAATTTTAATCCGATCGGTTATATATCAATTACAATGATAATAATTGCAATGGTAAACGTACTTTGAAATTTCATAGTGATGTAAAAAAATGTTTCGGATAGTGATCTCAGTGTTAGCCCGTCAAAGCTGAAAATTTTACTGCATGTCGGAACACGAGGTATTTCTAATGCCACATTGTCGGGGTGCAAATAATTAGTCAGAATGTAGCAGAATCCTGACATGAACAACTAAAATGTCCTCGACTGCGTATTAGTCTTTCATGACTAAGGCTTTAAGTAGTGCGTTTCCTGTGTGTTATGAAGTAGTTATGGTTTGATTTTCTCAGTCTGGATTTCGAGTTCTAAGTACTAATTTTCCTCTTAATCGTTGAGTCCTTGTATTTAAGCTTTCAGTTGGAATTATAATGTTTATCAGAGCACCATAGGGGGCAATTTTTGACAGCAGTATTAATTTGTTAGATCTATCCTTTAGTGTACGTAAGTGTAGGCAAATAAGATGATCAAGCGTATTTAAATTTATGGACGTAATATCAAGATTATCTAGTTACTAAATTAAGCCAAAATATTAGGAACTTGTAAAAAGCCGTACACGACCGGTATCAAGCATTTAGCGCTCGGCTTCTACGGTCTTGCTCCCTAATTGTCAAGACTACTCCTAACCTAATTCACTTTTCGGGTCCCTCAAGAGATTTTTTTTTCACGGTGTGAATAATAGTGTAGTGCAGCCACCCTCGTACCCCTAACAACACTCGATTGAATAACTGGATTTACGGTAGTGGTGGTACAGATTCAACTAGTTGTTCCAACATTGTCTTAGTCATACACAACGTATATCTTGCAACACGTGTATTGGCTCAAGTTGCCACATCACATTAGCACACTAAGATAGAGTTATCAAGACAAATCGTGGAGTATTAGAAGTAGCAACAGCATCAGTCGTAGTATGAAAGATTAGGTATAGAAAGTATGAGATCTCGGGATTCAGGAACTAAGGTAAGATATAGTAGATGCACCTCTATCATTGCGATCTATTCCGATCTGTGTCATACAACATCTCCAACCATTGGTTACGAGGATCGTGCACATCCCGACTAGGTGATATTCATCTTGTTACATAGGTCAGTCCAACAGTCAGTGACTTCATCGACTGATGCCATATCTTAGTTTGGCCACTCCTAGCTTTCTTTCAGTCTGTTCCTACACCAAACAACGTGACCTATCGAGGTAAACGGTGGTTGGACTTATGTCATACCCTAGTCAAGTTAGTTGGCGATTATTCATTACTTATATCTATTTGCCATTCATACCTGGTGTCGTTTGCCTAACCTCGTCATTGTCCTGTCACTCGATGTTCCCAACATGTATGAGGAATGCTTAAAATGTACATATGATGGAATACTAGTAATCTACAAATATTCTATGTTCTGAATGGTCATGTTTCCCACCTATAAAGTGGAGCAGAGCAAACTGATGCTTAGTAAACTCGTTCCTTGGTTGGAAGGTGGATATTTCCCCCACAATTGACGCAAGCTGGCAAAACCCGACAGTGCTTCATGGGTTCGTGCTGAAATTCTGTCAGACACCAACCCACTAGGGCTGTAAAGACTTCCAAGACAAATGAAGTGATCGGCTTCGTTTCTTTTTATTGGTTCAGACATTGACACAGGCCAGTCCTGAAGCAACATTTTACATTTAGAGGAAGGGGATTACATCACCGACATGCGAGCGTTGTTGCTCAAGAGGATCAGAAGACTGGATTCTGTGTCTTCAAACCGGATTTCGTCATTCAGGCGTTCGAAGTCAACAATTGAATTCTCTGGTAGGATATAAATTTCTGAAGAGCCAGACGACAAGGACGTCATTTCTAAAAGAATATCTATGACGGGGTTAGATAAAATTTGAGAAGGTGAATAAACCTGACGAACACAGTTTTCTTCTTCTCTTCGAATTCCCATTGTTTTTTTGTGGTAATAGTTCACCGCAAACTTAACCGGGAGTGTTTAGTTAGAGAGCATGTACTCGATTGATTTGGATCCTCGGTACACCTTTTAATGATAGAAGCTACCACACCATCTAAACCAGAGCCGTAGTTCCTAACTAAGTTCATATATAGACTACAGATTTTAAAGTTAAATGCAGCCTTAAAGTGTGCCATTGGATATTGATTTCTGAAATACAATCCACAGAATTAGTGAAGTTCTCCAATATCTAGCATCTTACCAGTTTCAGAGCGGTCAAATTAATTTTCACTTGATAGCATACTTAAGAAAATGAGTACGCAGAAATCCAAAGCTATTCAAATATGTCAGAGCTTCAATAGCGATGAGCTAATGGTTAAAAGAGAAGTAAAAAATTGATAAGAAACTTGGTTCAAAAGCGGATAAAGTTGAATAGTTAGCACATTTGCAGCCCTTAGTTGACTGCAATCGAGTTTGATTCCGTGCACCATACTTTTAAAAAACACCAATTCACAACCTTGGTATAAAAAGCCAGATATGAAATGCACTGAAGGAATATATCTTAAGCATGTATTTGTAAGATGACAACAATGTAGGTGAATGAAAATGATTTGAGCTAGATTGTTTAGCGGGACTAAGAATATATACGAAAAACATATAGTAGACAACATATAAACACACGAACAGACAAAGATATAAGGAAAATGTATAGTTTGTCGTATTTTGACCCTATCGCTAAAAAATTTTGTAAATTAATTTTTGGCTGGGGTGGTTGGAACATTTGTCTGTTCATGTGTATCCGTTCTGTATTCTAAAGGTTAGACTGTATAGTTTCAATTTCTATCTGCTACTAGTTCTTAGTATGTATGTTTTTAATTCAGTATCGTCATTGCTCTATCGTCCCTGTTTTTTGAACCATGGGACGTAGAATTGGCGCATTACTGTGGTACATTTTGGTTTGCCCCGTTTTTGACCTTCGATTCGAGGACAAACGTTCGTCAGTAGTTTCGAGAGAGACTACGTAATACACTAAACTGACATGTCGCTTGTTGAGAAGTTGTTCTACGTGAACTTAAAATGACTTAAGTATTTTGAGGAGGATATATATGATTTTTATCTGCTTCAATACTTCCGGTGGGGTGGTTCAGTAATTAAGGCATTGGATTTTGAAGCACTTAATGTCAGGTTCAAACTTCACACCACCTTCTGTCTAAGCAATTAAGTAGTACTACTGGCCCTCACAATCATAGTATGTCCTAAAGCCAAATACATGAGTCTGCACCTGATAAATGAGGTAGTAATATAACGACAATAGCCTCCTATGGAGTTTGCGCAACTATTGCGGTTCTTTCTAGTCTCCCCTGAAATAAATTGAAAAGATTTCATTCCGTCGAAAAATAAAATTTATAAAAAAATTGAGCCAAACAAAGGATATTTTTTGAAATTCACTATCAGCGCTGTTTCCAGATATTTGTATATATAAAAATGTCATCTGAAAATGTTCTAGTATAGGTTAGTTTACTGTCATCATTAATACTACTGTTATTACCATCAGTAGTAGGTTTAATTGATACAAATTTGAAAAAGTCAAACAATTAGCTCGCCAAGCCTCATTTGTGCACAGCAATTAGATATGTATGTGCGTGTGTGCGGATGAACAGCATATATATATATATATATATATATATATATATATATATATATATATATATATATATATATATATATATATATTAGGGTAATATAGGAAGCATCTCAGAAAAGGTTGGCAATTATTTCGTTGATTTGATAATTGGCATATTGAGTAACAAAAAGATTGGTAAGAGAAAACATTGTCAGCAAACAGAAAAGTATTCTGAGTAAAATGATGGGATTTGGACGATTTGTAGTTGTGGTGTATATTTTCGGAGCAGCAGTCGAGAAATGTATATATATATCGTTGTGATTATTGATAGTCTTCTGAATTACCCGTAAAGGACAATTGTTAAGTTAGAAAATAAAAAAATCTATATCTATAATAATCAGTGTATGTAGTATCTACTATTTATGTGGAATGGGAAAGTCAGATGAAGGTGAATAAGGTGTCCTACGATAGGCTGGTTCCTGTGTGTTAGGCACTGGATGATAATTTGTTCGTCTTGAAGTGACTTTTCTATTGTCATGATGGGTTGTTTGAATTGGTGAAATCAACGGCTGTCTTTGCTTTGGTTCAGTTGAAGTGTATTGACCAAGTCTTTGGGTTGGTTCTGTAGGCGGTACTTTTGTTCGTCTTCGCATGAAACGTTTACGTTTAAAGAAACCGGCCTAAAATAATGCAAGTTAATATTATGTTAATCAAATTCACATTATTTGTATACTAGATTTGTAAATAAAAATAAGCTATTTGTTATAGATAAGTCGAAAACTAAAAGTTTATTCGGATGACATCATTGACTGTTTGTTTGATATTGGCAAGTGGGATCAGGACCAACCTTGTTCAATGTTTAAATTCGTATTGTCTGTTATTAATGACAATATTTATACGCTTTTATCCTTGTTATTCATCTCTATTCTTAACAGATGAGGATAGTTTTGATTTGATCAAGGTAGAGTTAATCATTGGAATTCCTAAGTTTCATTCATTTATACTTTATTCAGACTTTTTTGGTGAATGAATTCTAATCACCTATCGATTCTTTGCACGAATACTTTTATTTAAGGCTTTTTATGCGATTCTCAAGTGTATTTTAGGGGTAGCCTTTTTTAGAATCACGGCAATAAACAACTCACTGTTTACAAGCATAAACTGAACAAGATTTATTCTTTGAAGTGGTTTCCACTTTACTGTTTAGCTAAGATTTATTGATATGACAGATAGAAATGATTATTGCCTATTAGTTGTCAGTGTGAGATGATACTTAACTCACAATAAATTTCTTTGAATATTTAAACAAAAATTAAAAGCCCTTAATCAAATCAATCAGTCTAAAATTTACTAATAATTAAGCTGAATTACATTAACTTTTGGGATAATTGTTGTGGTCGAAATTCACTATTTTTCTCTTTCCCAGCTCTAATGGTTACTACTTCCAATTAAGGGGGAATCAGTTTATCAACCAAAATAATGCATGTATCATATGCTGTAAACAACAAATAATGATTTTTAGAATTAATACTAGAAAAACAAGACCCAACGAAAGCATGAACCGCTAAGTTAAACCAACAATGAAAATCTGTAAGCACTGGATGTCGTTTCGTTCTGGTAAGGGACTCCCCGACGGTTCACATCCACGATCTAGCACATGGGACTCGGACCCAGGACTTCCGGGGTCACGCGTGAACTCTTAACCTGTAGGCCACTGGCCTGGAATCCAACGGTGTTAGTGTCTAACTCCAATCAACCCAGGGCAATGCGCAACCACTTCCATTAGTTTCGGTGGGTCACTGCCTCACCTGATACGGTTTAGCTCCCTGATAGTTTAACCCTAATCGGTTCATGATTTGAATTGAACTTAACAATATCCACAACTTGATAATGAATATTTTGATTATTTTTCAAATATTATGAATATATTGATAGTCAACTTACTTTATAAAGTATAATAACTAGAATAGATAACAATAGTAAACCTCCAAATACAGCTAATCCTATGTATAATGCCATATATTTTGGTGGGATCGGTTTTTGCTCTAAATTATTAAATATATGAACTTCAATCTGGTAGAATTAAGAAGAAACAAAAAATGAGTTGGATAAGAAAGCACAAGAGAAGTGGAGTAGTAGTTTTATTATTTTGATAATTACCCAAATAAACTGGAAATGCATGACAACAAATGGAAATATAGCAATGTAAAGGAGGAATATTCGAATTAGAGAGGTGAAGAAGGGGAAGGAAGGGCTTTTGAAAAAGGAAAGGATCTTTCCATGCAATAGAATCATTAGACAAATGAAGTTTTTGAAAAGTTCTTGATGATATTAATATATATGCTTGTGTATATGAAAGGAACATGCGAGTATACACAAATTTTTCACGTTTAGTAAATGGAATTTATTTCTGATAATGCATGATATCAATACTCTTACTTTAATGTAAGAATATGCTTCACATTTTCAATGATTTTGTATATTTAATCTGAAAAAGTTTTCACACCGAATTACAGTAAAAGCGAAATTATTAAATGAGGACTTATAAGCAGATATAGTTGGTGGCTAGCGGTGGAATCCAGGACGCGCTCGGGTGCGTCCAGCTGAAGAGTCCCAAATAGGACGAAACGCGCATGCTGGATTTCACTGCTAGCTACCACCCATCTTTGCTTATAGTGCTTGTGACTTAAAACAATATTTAGACAATCCGCACTGGGTGCAAATATGTCGATAACAGACTGATCAATTGCAGTTCTAAACATCAGTGGGAAGATCCAAACAACCAATATAAAAATGAATCAAATTAGAAATTGTTTTGATGAGGATGGATTAAACTTAGTCGTAAGATTGTAAAATATATGCATAATCCATATTATGATTAACTTTCGAATCAAAAGTGGTTATTAAAATAATGAACTCAGCTGTCTACAATTCTGGATAGACAGGTCGTGGTTAACTCAGAGGGCAATAACTGTTGTTGACAAGTTTAATCAAAGACATGGTTATCTTTTAAGAGTTCATTCAAGCTGATAGCAATCACCATTGTTGTACAAGATTTATGGTGAAAATCTGTAACTATTACATGTGGTTGGCAATAATGCATTTTGTACAAGCTATCTGAGTAAATCAATCTGAAAATCGTAGTAAGAAAATTACCAGTAAAATCAAATGAATAACAATATACAAGTTGTGTTTCACACGTACTGAATTTTAACACATGAATGTGTCCACATGCAGAAAAATATAGCGAACAAAATGTTAGACAAATACATGATTACACATCTTCATTCATTACATTTTTTAGAAAAATTAATCAACAGTAAAATTTGTAATCAGGATTTTAAATAGTCAACATAAGTTGAATACGAGTAAAGATGCTTTTAATCTACGGTATCAGTGTTCAAATACAGTGATTCTTTAGTATGAAATCCTATATCATCAGTAAAATTAATCATGGTATGAAAAATTTAAATTAATTAAAATCTATACTGTGAGTTAAGTTAGTTGTGAATTTTATCTCAATTTTTAGGTAGGCTTCGCCACATCTGTCGACCTCAGTTGGTGAGTGAACTATTAGTGGAAATCATACAAGATATGACAAATGTTTTGTACTAGCTTGTGACTCTTCAACAGTGCATATTTATGATCTCATTAGAGATCAAACTTGATACCTACAGCGTTACATTTTGACTATTGAGCCAGCTTCTGATGATCTAAATTTCAGACTTCTGTCAATTGTTGTGTGTCATCAGTGATACTTTCTCCATTTTAGATATTAGTAAAAGACTAGAAAATCAATTATCCTCGCTTTAATTTCCTGCGCTCATTAATTATATGATAGATAGTATTTCTAGAGTCTCGTTAATAATCATAGTTGTTGAAAAATTTATCATCACACCAATACATACTTTTGTAAGTCCCGAATATTTTTAACTTACGTGCATGATCTGTAGGAACAATGGATTTGTAAGTAAGGATGAATAACCATTTCGCTGTCGAAGGTTGGTAAAGTTATATTTATGGATTAACTGAAGTTGAAGAGTGTTTAAACCCTGAATACTAAATGAACAATCAATTTGCAGCTAAATTTGGAAATCGTGAATTCGATCAAACTAAATATCCACGATATACATTTTTAAAGTCATAGAAGTAAACGGATCGGATATTCATTGTCTACATATTAAAAAATAAGACATACTAACATCTACCTATATAATTGACTAATACTGACCATTTCATGGTTTATAATACCGGATATACAACTTGTCAGCTTATAGTAACTAAATTTTTTAAAACACTAAAATGTATGGTTAAATATTAAGTACATGTATAATGAAATTGACAATCGGTGAACAAATGAAAATATCCATATTTTTCGACATGCAGTTATATGACGATAATGACGCGAAACACAGATAAATGTATATAAACAAACAGTCGATAAACAACAGATATAGATAAATCCGTATATTCATTTTTAGATATATACATAATTTTATAGACAAATCATATTTAAAAAAAAATAGTAAGCGGTATTGTTCAATTTAAAAATGATAAGAATATTCATATTAATTAGGGAAATGACAAAATCAGTACAATTTTTCATTTCGTTTCAACAAAAGAAAAGATAAAAACAGAAATTAAGAAGAATATTATTATTACTATGATTGTACAAATTTCGAGGACAGAAATATAATCCGTAAACCTAATAATGAACTTTCCATTATTATTATTATTATTATTATTATTCAATATTTGGCCACAATCTAAGAGAAATAGTCTACAAAAGAGATTCAAGATCTGATATCAATCACTAAATATGAACTGTTTGTTAATTACTGGAGATTTGTACATGAGTACCAGTTTATCTTCACTGTGATACTCAACTGAATATTTTATTCATTCTGTGTAAGAAGACATTTTTAATCTTACAATAACTTTAAACGATGGTACTCCATTTATTATTTAGATTAGAACATAATTCTGTTAAAACGCAAATACATATTAATTTAATGATGAAAGAAATTTGTATCGGTTATATGGTGAAATTCTATTTCATAAAGTTGTGATTACTTTAAAAGACAGAATTTATTACTCATCTTGAAATTTTATCGGTGTTTACGGCATTGGGAACAAAAGGAACTTTAAAAATCTTTTGAGCTATCGATTTTCTTATTTTATATAAGCATTTGGTTAGTTTAAGTTTTACCAAGTACATTATTTTATTTAACCATTGGATAGGTCAACATTTTTAAATCTTAGGTATGTAAGTGAACTGAATATTTAATTTGTTCTAGTTCAAAGCTCTTCACTTGATATAAGGTCAAATCAAGGACCATTAAAGTTTTATGGTAAACATTATCATTCAGCTACCCAATCAGAACCCAGCTATTGATAATAAGGATCTGTTCATTTGCCAAATACAATTGATCGAAATAATGACTAATTTGTTAATAAACTTGATAGCCTAGTCTGAAAGTTTGATCGCCGATGGAGTATATAATTTTGTAACATTTCATTTCTAAATTAGAAAACGAATATTTATTCAGTGCTTCCCAGTCTATACGGATTGTGCAAATAATGTTAAATCGTGATGAAAAATATCCTCATATTAGTCGATTTCTAGAAAAAAAATATTTAGCTGAATATAATTATTTAACATTTGTACAATCTATTCTATGAAATACAACAACATTAATGGACTTCATTAATAGTCATTTAAAACCAGTTTATATTAACTTGAAACAGTTGAAAATAGTTTAGTTGAATACAAATTAAAGTAATTACGATTTGTAGCTCAGAATTAAAGATAATAATCATTATTCAAATATATATAGGCAATTGAAGATAACAATTGAGGTACCGATAATGTTTGAATAAATTAATATTATCGTAAACATGTGTAGTTCGATCAAATAAGTAGGTTTTTTGAAATTCATTTTAAAAATGTCACTGCCTTACAACGCTGTTTAAAAGTCATTGCAAGTTATACACTATTTTTCCAATACATTTGTATTTATCATAATTTATTCACATGTATTCACGTTGCTTCCTAGTTTTCAAACATGGATGTATTTCTAGCTACTGTGGTGTCATTTAGATAAAACAATAATAATAATTTGGTATTTTCAATGTTAAGTTTCCATAAAGCTGTCCGATAAGTAATCTCAGTTAGAAAAACGAGTCATTTTGTCAGTCCCGTGAATTCTACATCATGCATTGTTTTACGACGCTAGGAATGCTTGAGAAAAACGGAGAGATGGTCAATGTATGACATGGTACCGTGGTATGAAGGAAGGTTGTACAGGACTGGCATCTGTTGGCCCTTCATGACTCTGTAGTTGAGGTTCTACAAATAGCCCGACACAGTGACCTGAGACATGATCCGATATTGATAGAATAAAAGCCAGTAGAAGTCTTCCTGTAATTTTCTTTTACTTTACAAAAATGAGAGGAACTTTAATTGAAAAAAATTCTTTCTGGTAATATAGTTCTTGATTGAACTGCCTTACTAATGGTATACTACCTTTGTTCACTTGCTTCTTTTCATTTATTTAGTTTGTTTTTAAATTATTCTCGCCCTCCTTTCCCTATCTCTTTACACTCACCCTCTCTTATTTTGTAGCGCATATTTATTTTGATTCCCTTTTTTACCAATATTTTTGTGTTTAAATAAATAAAAAATGAATCAGTCGGTTTATAAATCTTTGTATTATTCATGGTTTATTTTGTATTAACCCTTTTCATTGATGTTGACCGATTATCAAACAGTCAGGTAAGTTTTCACTAACACATTATCATCAGAAGTTCAATATGTAAAAGTGATATACAAATCAATGATAATCTAATGTAGTAGTCTCATCAATTTCATGGGTCAACTATTTTACTAAACAGGCAGTTACTGACATATATGTTACTGTTTTCAATTTACTTAACCAATCGTTTTTACCAATGACATATATTTACACACTTTCATAGAATGTTTACAACCTCTTGCGAATTTAATTTTTGAGAAACTTAAGAAGATCCATCGTGATAGTTTACATATTTTCCTCCTCTTTTGTAATCCGGAGAAACACAAAAGGCAAATACTATAGAATTCAGACATCAAATATATTCCAAAGATGAAAAGAGATGTCATAGCAGCAATGTAGATTGTAAAAAAAGTTACGGGTGAATATGAATAGTAGTTTATCGCTGTTCTGAAACTTTTCTATAAATATTTTCTTGAATATTCACAAGTCCAGTACATAAATAAAAGTAATTTTTTTTTGTAATATGATATATTTCATGATAAGAATCCTTTACTGTAATCAGACATCTGGTATTGAATGAAGTGAGTATAATTATTATGATTAATTTGTCCGAATTTCGAGTATACTTTAGAGTTTATTAGACAAACAGTAAAATAAAGTAGGGCTGTAATTTGAATACCGTGGGAATATTGTTTCTAACAGAATAATTTATTGTGATACTCAAAATAAATACTAAGAAGAATTTCACTTATAAAACTGTCCAATGTGAAGATTAATAATTCTGACACTTATGTTAACTTTTCTTTTTGACGTGTAAAATACAATATACTTAGTATTTGTTGCAATCATTGAAGTATCATTCTATCGAAATTAATCTGAAATCTCATCTGTTTAACTGCTGATTACTACAAGCTATTGTTACATTAATTTTGAAATTTATCGAATTTAAACAATAAAGTACACATAACAGTTGATTTGGGTAGAATCTTTATGAAATATATCATTGAGATTTCTTCGTCGGTTTCAACTTATAAAGATAAATTAAACTTCAACTATTTGTGTATTCTGAGTGTAACGACCTCAAAATACTATCATACTCGTTATTTGACTGATATTTTAATGTAATGACAACTCAATAATAGATGGATAAATTTCTTGGCCAAAAAATTACAGAGTTCTTTGGTAAAATATGACAACCAGACATCCAATACTTTATTTACAAATCTTTCATCTATTGTCCTTTACATCCTTGACGATTCTTCCAATTCTTAATTCCTTTCCATTTCTTCTTCTGTTTTCTTCAGTTCACTCTTCTCAACCTTCTTTTGACAGGCATAACACTTCTAATCGGTGTTACATACTACTTATATCGACAGACACAAGTAGAATATATCACAGTATTTCATTTTTTATTTAGTTATAATTTAAATATATTATTCAGTTATAATAGGTTTAAGGATGTTAACAATTGTTATTTATTTAGGACAAAATTCACCATCACTATTATTATTAAATTACTTAAAGCTAAAATAATGCATAATTGATTGAAAAATAAAATCAAGTGGAAACACGGATAAAATCTGTGTATAATTCCATTGACTTACTGTATCTTGTGCATAATCCGAACCGCCAAGGTCAATGCCATATTTAACATCAGCTTTCCATGTTGCAGTCAGATGTAGTTTAGTTAAAAATACTTTTAAAAAGTCCTAATAGTCAATAAATGAATAAATAAAAGACAAGTTGAGGAAGAAGGTGAATATTATTTGAAATTATTAGTATAGGAGATTTGTAAAGATAGTTCCATTTTTTGGCTTATATTATCGACCGTTTTTCAAAGTTAAATAACTATCGGAAACCAGATAGCACTAGCCAGTTAACTCACCGAAGGTTCTGGAGGTCAGTGGTTTCCTTAGTTGGGTTATGGATGCTCACTGTTGAGAAGTCCCATGATAATAGCACAAAACAGCTATTTAGTGCTTTTCCGGTTTCGATTAGCTGCCTAATTAAAGTTCGTTAGTAATATGAATTATTTGGAGTTATCAGTATAGGTGTTCATAGTAACTGTTGAATTTCGTAGTTAATATAACGAAGTGACCTTAGACAACCACAAAAAATAGAACAGAGCCGAACAACTGTTTCGTCCTAAAATGTGATTTTCCTGTATTGTACATCCACGACACAACTGGGGGTCACTTCCATAGTCTTCAGGTTTCACAGCCAGAACTTAACCTTTGGACGAACGTGTTGGAAATTCATAGTTGATATATCTAACTTCAGTTCATTCGTTATACTGTGAAATCAATTTTACTTATGAACGAATTATATTAGTTCACTTGCTGCTAATTGATTTATACTTATTTGTATACCACTAGGCACAAAAATGTATACTCTACAGGTTTCGTTGTTATCTGTTACCTTTATTTTCCTAATTTCTGGTTAGATATCCAAATTGCTTTTGTGCATATCTAGTTCAAAGCGATTGTTCAGTACTCCTAAGTTTCAGTTGGTTGTTTATTTAAGGCCAGTCCATGACGTAAAATTTTTCAAAGTAAGTTTGATCTTGCTTTCTTTGATATTAGTTGGATGTCAGCGGAACAGAAACCTGATCAAAGCATGCTTCAGAAAAGATCGCTCTGGAGTAAGCTAAATGGTTCATTTTCAACCAGTGGATGAACTGAGAAGACTCTAGAATATTTATGTGCCGGGTTTGTCTGTACATTGACATTTTCTTACGATATTAATTTACCTAAACCTGGTGTTTTACTTTCGTCGGAGATTTCAAAAATGCTGATCATCAAAGTCCCTAGAATCCCAGAAAAATCTAGGAAATGTTTATCTGACCAGCAATGAATAGAAGCGTCTCCAAAATATCCAGAAATTGACGGGTCACGTGCCACATTTTTGATTAGGTAAATACCTATGCCGTCACTATTTTTCTTATGTTCCCAGAAAGCCTTAGAAGAGCAAGGTCACACAGACCTCCATAAATACTCTCGATTTTCTGTACAAAACTAACTTCGGAATAAAGCTTCTACTAAGATTTCGAACCTTTTCACTATTATTTGAGTTGAAGTATAGAAGTAGTCTGAGGCTGTAGGAAACGTCTAGAAAGTCAGGATTAAGCATTCCAGTATCAGACTTAGCGGTTTGGAATATATTTACGTTCTGTTCAAGTTGTATTTTGATTCGATCAGTCGAGTGAAGTGAAGTATCCGACAATACTATGCCGAAGAAGAGTTAACATTAGTGCATCACTGGAAACTTGAGAGTATTGAACAACTCCTATGTCCCAGATATCTACAAAGATGATTTATATTTGTGCATTCACGCACAAAATCGAAAAAAGGTATCGTGTGGGAAAAATGTCGAGAGTGTAAATCTCCATATACCAAGATATATATAAGGATTAAGACTGATTAGAAGAAGCCTACGTTACAACAATATTCAAACAAAAAGTATCCAAATGGTCATTTCTCAACATACCAGCTTAGCTACGAAATTTATCTATTTGTTAAAAGGATTTTGATTTAATCTAAATTTCTGTATAGTTCGATTGTTCTGATGGGTGTTGTTACTGGTTTATCTGTGTTATTATTGTTTAAAGCATTGTATTATGAAAAAAGAGTGAAAACGAAGTGTTGGTCGTGACAATTGAAACAAGTGACTCCCACATTATTGACTCTGTAATGCTTCCGAGTCACTTATAGGACCTTATAACGACTCCAGACTTACAATTATATTCTTTAAAATTTAGGATATTACAGGGAGATTTTATCACCAAAAAACTAATTTATCACGAACTAAATTGTGAAAAAAATCAAACTGTGTCCAATATTTCTTATTAGTTAAGTGATTCTACCACCCAAGTTGTTGTAAAATTTGGGTGGTTGATGTCTCATCAATACCCACTTACAAGATGATAACAGTAAGAAAATAATAAGCTTCAGAAACGACAAGGGGACATTAAATTTATAAGTTTTTACTAAACAAATTAAAGTGGTAAACGCAAAAAGAAGAATGAACCCGAAATTGATGTTAAGTAAATTTATTCAAACACATGAACATTGGTACAAGGAGGCACCGAATATATATGCGCCACACTTCGTCACTTAGTTTGTGTGAGGGCTGGAATACTGACTGAGTGTCCAAACCAAAGCAGGTGGTTTTCTTAGGGGGCCACGCACCGAGCCTTTGATTTAGAGGTCTAATCCACAAGGCAGTTTAGCAGCGTTAGGAGATGCAGTTTCATGGCAGCTGTTGACCAACAATAGGTTCATACGACATTTTTTCCTTATGATCCTGAAACCCATCTACAGCATTGGTTCGGAATCAGGGTTTTCTAACTCTCATAGTTGGATCCTCCATCTCCACTAACAGGCCAACTCTCTTTTCATCCTCTCAATTTCACATAAAAACACCCCTGCTATGAGAAGACATTAAGTAGGACTTCCCTGGTAGTGACCGTGTACGCGTGACTGTATGAGAGCATGTCGAGCAGGAGAGCTGACTCTCCTTACGCTCGGCCGTATCAGGGCACTTAAAATAAAATCAACAAGATTGTTTTTATGTAGTTAGATTAAGAAACGTTATTCCAAAACAATATCCCGTTATTATGAAAATGAGTAGGGTTCATGATGCTTTCATAAAACTGCAGGTCTATAGCCCTTGTCAAGCAGTTCTCATTCACTGTCATCAAGAGGTGAAGGTTTCTGAATAAAATTGTTAAGAGTACATTTCACTGAAGGCTGATGTAATTTTTTATGGATTTTTATATCAGAGTTCATAAATCGGTAGTTTTATTAATTTCCATTAGAATAAATCATTAGAAATCATAAGTAGTAAACAGGAAAGTTTGTTAGGTAGGCCAATTTATCTACAAAAACAGATAATTAATCAAAGTCTATAAACTTGTCAGCTCTCAAATTACAAACGTAGCTATTGTTTAAACAAATGTAACACTAGAAACAACAAGTTAATATGATTAGTCCAGTTAACAATTATTTAACTTTGTAGAGTATATATTGACTTATGAATTGTTTGTTGACAAATGTTAACCTTGATTCACCATTACAAACGTTTTTAGTATACATCATTAATCATTATTAAATAAGATAATAAGTTATGTTGTAGTGATTAAACAATTTTGACGACAAAGTCATTGAAATCAAACTATAATTTTAGGAAATGATAAAAAAATAGTGAGAATATTCAAAACTAACTTCTCGCATTGTATTTTCCCAGAGTCTTGCAATAAATTCAAGTGTAATTGGTCCAGCTTTATAGGATAATTTGCCTAAATCACAAATAATTGGCACACATCGTATACGTCCATTATAACAACTCTAAAAATATAAGATGTTTAAAATTAACTGAAGTCTAAGAAAATAATAATAAAATGCAGGAAATGATCCAATCGCTGGCTGACAAAATAAGTTATTAACAAGCAAATGATTTATCTGAAGAAAGTGAGTGAACGTACTGTTGCTAAGGCGAAGGACTAGGTAGAGATTACAAATCAAAAATTATTTGATGTAAGTGAATCATGACCAGTATTCATTGGATAAACAGACTTTAAAAATGGAAACAAAACTTATTTCTTAAAATTCTCAGTAGTTGTAATCATTCAGCAGGTAAACCTACTTAGCCAGATGCGACTGACTTCCTGTAGAATTAAGATGTTTTGATGTTCTATGATGTTCAGCCGCTTAATCTGGAGGATTGTGATGAAACTAGGAGTTTAGAACTAACAATTCAACAATACAACATTAGCCACCATTCTGTGAACGAATAATGTAATTCTTAAGAACAATATACAATCTACAACTATGTTCACATAGATCAATACTTACAATTGTGGTCATTTTTCGATCAACTAATTTCTTCGAATCTGCTAAACGATCAGGAACTGGTTCCAAGATCATTTTGTCTGATAGTGGGGGATACGGAGAAGGGTTGTCTGAAGGGATATTAATTGACGCAGTTCGTACTGGTACACCATCATTTGATTTTCTTAATCTAGAAAATATCTTCGAAAGAAAACAACTATAACATTAGGATAGATCATCTCATACAACTCATATGTCCAATAAATGCGATATTTATGATGTTAGCTTCTATGAATCACTTTCTGAAGAACAGACGGTGAATAATTATTGTGTGAAGGATATTAAACTCCTAAAGGATCATATGTAACTAAATTTATACGATCCCAATAAGTGGCTATTGAACCATGACAAAGCCTTTAAGTGTCCAGCAGTAAATATTCGTAAATTCCTGGTACATGATATCATCATCACACTAGATTATTTTTATCACTTGTTTGACTTAACCTCTACTGATTCTACTTTGTTCTTAAAATCCAAAATGGTCGGTTAGGTAGGTAGTGCAGTGATAGACTGTCAAACGACGAGGTATATGAAAAATCTGATTACTGAGGACTTACAGAGATGATTTTCACTGGACAAATGAAGATAAGGCAAATGTTTTTCCACAAATGAATAGAATAAGATTGATATACCCTGAATAAAATAGAGTTTCTCGATCTCGGTTTGGGTATTTTTTGACAGATCATTATTAGTAATGCAGTATACTATGACATAAGACGTTGTTTGCTTATTGATTTTAACGAATAAAGTATGTTGGGATAACAGAGTCACTGCATTTTGATCGCGTGTAATGTAACTTAGGAATCTCGCAGAAGTGCCATTAGAAGTAGGTAGTTATGTAGAATGATACATTAAACATAACTTCAAACAATAGTTACGTCAATGATGATTACGATAATGCAACAAATTCCTGATTAACAACATCGTATTGTTTTATGCAGGAAGTTATGAGCTGTACCTATTCCTTGAGGACTAAGAATAATTTTTGAATTCCTAGATCAAAATGAACGTAAAACTGGGATCCGTCAGTTCGTAATCGGTCATATGAATCTGTTCTCAAAACTTCGTGGAAGACAAGGAGCAGGGATTACTGAGTCATATCTTCAGAATAAATTTATGACTAATAACTTATAACAGTACAAAATACAGAATGTTTCAATTATACTATAGCTTGTTTTTTTACCAACCAGTGGCATCAAAATAACTTCATCTGAATGATGTGTTTTAAAAGAAGAGGTTAGTTAGCCAGTTACTTTTGCAGTAACGTGTGATGCTTTTCTAAAGAAGTTATCTTCCGCTTTTTAGTTTTCTAACATGCGATTTACTATTAACTTTTCCCTATCTAATGTAATTTCGAATTATATTTTATCTCACTTATTTATCATTTGAATCAAGGTAAAAAGTTAAATGATTAGGTTATCATCCATTCATAAATGTGAGTTATTTATATACACTCAAAAATATCCACTTTTTCTTGCTCCAGAAGCATGTTTCTTTATTTTCGATTTCATTGCTTTCCTTTGAAGAAAACGTGATTGATATCTTAAAATACTGTATGATAAAAAGCAGTAGAGAGATTAATTGAAAGCAGCGTGATATGATGAGCGAATTAGACATATTGTCTTAAGACCACATGGTAAGTGAGAAATGCTAACATGTGCACTTTATTGGCCAAGATCTGAGTAAACTTTCTGAGGAAGCAGTTACATAATGTTGGCTGAATCTCTGTGTTAATTTTCTGAGGGAAACGGATATGTATTTAAAAATGAGTTGTGCATAGATCTTTGATTTGGGGCTTTGAATTAATGATTCCTACTTCTTGGTTTTTTCATTCAAGTACCCGGATAGGATTGTGTATAAGTAGCTTGTATATCCGTAGCAAAATCCGACATACCTCAGAACATAAAACAACAGTCATTTATATTGACACAAAAATGATAGGAACCACTGAACTCACTCGGAAATTATGTGGATTAACAACTTTCTGTAATGCCTTAGAATCACAAACAACACTAGTTTCATTGTCTACTGTTTGACCAGGAATTGGAAGCGCATGTTGAATTACATAAGGATTTTCAAGCAAGTAGAGAAGATATTTTCCATGTGGTTCATTGATGAGCCCAGCGAATTCAAAAGGCCAATCGATGATCAGACGTGATGCTGGTATTAAACTATGTTTACGTAAATTTCGTACCTTTTTTCGCAACACAATAACAAGAACAGTAAGAAACAGCATAATACTTATATATAAAAATAGCTTTAGAAAGACAGTCTAAAACAGCTACTTGATACCGTTTCTCTGATTCGCCAGTAAATAACACTTCTGTATAAAACAGTTCTTAAATTAATCTAGAAATAACTATTTTGTTTGAAATCAATGGTTTGAAAATTGAGATTTTTGATGGAAGACTTGTTCACTGTCATTTACATTAACTAGTGACGTGTTCCAGAGTTATCAATAATTTATAGTATGAACGCTTTTCGGATGAAATGAATACACAGTCTGTAGTCAAATTAGACTGTTATTTGACTTTTAGTTGGCTAATAACTCTTGTTATTTCTCTCTTCTTGACTTAGAACCCTTGTCATTATAGGGAGAAGTCTAGGTGATAAAAAAACGATAACAAACTATTTTAGTCATAAAGTTATGTTAATTTCCCATATCTGAAATGAATAGTATGTAGATCTAAATTTCAATAACATAATGATAAGATATTGGATAGTCTTACAATGAAAGTTCTTGATTAGAATGATGAGCGCTTAAGGTTCAAAGTAAACAATATTTTGTAATTTTATTTGTAAGTATTTATAATAATAATGATGAGTTCATATCTCAATATATGTCATAAGTCCTAACTATTGGAGAGTTCATTGTAGCAAAACATTATTCATTTAGATGGACGATGCATTATACTTACATACATGGGGGGATATCAGCTCAGTTAGGTATGTAGATATTTATGCTTCCCCAAGTTGATGAACTATACCGGGTTTTTAAAACAGTATGACAATTATAAACAAAGATGGATAGTGGCTAGCAGTGGAATCCAGGACGCGCGTTTTGTCACATTTGAGACTCGTCAACTGGATGAACCTTCATCTCATAGTTGATGTTCACTTTCATTTCTTTACTGAGAGCTTGAGCATTCATCATGAAGATGAATAAAGAAATTATAATTGCAAAAGGAAGACTCAGTGAGGTAAGAAAACATTTTGAAATTGAGATGAATTGTAACCATGAGGATTATAGAAACAGGAACAAGTCAACTGAGGGTTAAAGTTCTTTAGAGAAGAAGAGAGAAGGGAAACAGATGGCTGCGAAGTAGGAAATGAAAAGAAAACAATACGAGAGATTGAGATCATGGTAGAAGATGTTATACAAGTTTCTTTTGTACACAATTGCCATGTTTATTAAAATTTTATTATCATTTTGGAAGCTAAGTATATATTTGTTGTTGTATAGTTTTGAAAATAAATTTACCCAAAAAAGGAGAACTTTTCGCTGAACTAATCTTTTTTATTTTATGATAATTTCTAAAAACCTTATCGACCGAAAACTTTCATTCATATTCTATAAATATAATTTCAAATTACAATCGATGGAGATTAAATATGGTGGACAATTTTCTGTCTAGGTTGTTTTTGTTTTTTTCTACATTTCTTTCAGAATTTAATGTCAAGAAAAACGTCTAGATAAACTAAGACCTAGTAAGTCAATGATGTCATTCTGTTTACAGTTCATTGTACTGTTTGTTACTCAAGAGTGAACTAAAAACGTTTGCAATGCTTATAGTTACTTATTTTACTTATTTTGATAACACTCTTAAGATTATTTTATTTGGTATTGGAAGTAACACGTTCAAATAGTTCATTGTAACACAAAATCATAATGAATGTTTTAAACTTGAATTAATATATTGAATATGACATTAGTTATGTTACATGAGACTGATCAATTGCAGTCCTAAATAACAATGGGAAGATACAAGTAAAACAACACTAAGTGAATTAGTTATGTTAGTCCTAATAACTTGACTTAAATAAGTTTTAATTATAGTATACAGTTTTTTTATAATTATCAACAGACGCATAAAGTAAACTATATTCAAACAAAATTACTTTTCAGTATGTTTGTGATTCAAAAGAAAGTGGGATAGTTTTAATGTTTCAATGTGTATTGTCTATTACACTTTTATTTTGTCACTCAATCAATAAAGTAAGGACTAATTTTCGTTTCATAAAAGAACAATATATTTATAAAGACAATCGAAGATTGTGAATTTAGAGGTTCGAGAATATGGATAGAAATGAGAAAGTGTTTGATAAGGCTGTAAATCACTATCAAATGAGGTGGATGGGAGATGTGGTATAGATTTCAAAGACTCTTACACAAATAATAATAACAGAGACTGTAATAAAATATTGCCAAGGTGAATGTTAATGTATGCTATATGAAGGTAAATTTCAAGTAAAAAAATTATTACTTACAGTAAATTTACCAACAATTCTAACATCACCAATTTGATTTTCTGCTGACATTGAACTAATCCCGTCACTAACATTTCCACTAAAGTAAATTGTATTCGGTTCAGTTGTTCTGTAATGATACCAACACAAAAATTTTAGTTTTTTCTATGTTGCATTAAAACTCATGAGGCTAATAACCATGCTATACTTTTATGCAAATATATAGACAACAAAACTATATTTAAGTGCTCTAATAACATCACTATCAGTTGATTTAAGCTTATTTAACTTTTACCTAAGTAAACAGATTGGAACATTACATGTTAAGCCGTATATGAAAGGTTACAGTTAATTGCATAAATTTGAATTTTGAATAAAATCATATTTAAATAGGTTATTTATGTAGATTCGATCAGTTTGAAAGATTTCATTACGAACGTACATCGGTCTGAAAACTATTAGAAAGAAAAGAGCACTGGTTTAAGACTTTTTAATACCTGATATTTATCCATGATGAAAACCATTTGTGAAATTAATATATCAATTTTATTTTTGCTTATCTATAATCACCAGAAGGGGTATTGTGAAGATGTTAGAAATTTCACTGGTTCAAATCATGAGTCAATTGAAGCTAGGTATCGTGGATGCGCACTTCTGAGGAGTCCCATACTAGGACGAAACGACCATCCAGTGCCTCCACGTTTTTCATGGTGGTCTAGCTTCAATTGACTCATGATTTCAACCAGTGGAGTTTCTAAAATCTCCACAAAACCCCTTCTGATAATAATCATCTGCTCACTAGTGACTGACTTCAAGAGATACTCGTGGAGTTCTAGTGGGAAGCCGTTACCAGTGGAGTTCAACCAGGTCTGTTGTGAGATATCAACTCACTGAAGACAATGGTGTACGGTGGCGCAACTTCGTGGATCATCTATAATCAGTTAGAAGTTTACTAGGGAAAATATTATAGAAATTCATACCTATTTATTAAGTCTGCATAATTGTTTACATTTACAAACAATAAGTACAATTGTGTTAATTTTCATCAATTTTAATACAAAATTCTATGTGTCATATGTTAAACATGGAGACTGACAAATAACAATGGAAAGAAAACATGATAATTGTGTAGGTATTGTTACCAAGGTTTGACTTGATAATTATGAATAAATTGAGTATCGCTTCGATTGTTATAAATAAATAAATATATTTTTAATATCCCAATGAGTAGAAAAATGAGATTTTCCGACGTTTCGTGACTTAATGTATGCCACTTCTTCAGAGAGTAAATAATCAAATCAAAATTAATCCAACTTTTATCATGATAATTGTATTTTATATTCCAGAAAGAATAAAGTTTTACTATTGTGTAAACATTTATCATTTTTGTGAAAATATTACAGAAGGAATTAAATAAAAATAACCTTAGAAATATATTACTTGAAGCCACTAGATAAAATGTTAAAATAATGCCTGGAGATATTGGTATTTATTTATTGTGATAATTTGAGCTTTCCCATTATGAGATAATTTAGATAGAAACTATCAGTTTTGCCACTATATTAACTTCTTGAACAAAAATGTAATAATGTTGCTTGCATTGATATGTCGACTATGTTTGGATAGTGACCAGATGTATTAGCCAGAAAGTACGTATCATAATATTTTGGAAATGAGATGAATGAAACACTTACTTAATTGTATATAACTTTCCATCTTTTAAAAAGAAATTTATTGAAATTTTGAGGACTAAGTTGAACCCTCTGATTATTATAACTAGGTGACACATTATTTTAAGATCCAGTCACTGTTGTTTTTGATAGTTCTCAGCCAGTTATTTCATGTTATTTGGTATTCGGTTTACAAAACTAAACTAACTACTTAGTTGGTGATTTCATTTTCAAATATATAGAACTAGTTACTCAGTATTAATGTAATATTGATTTATTTGTTGAAACCTGATGATGATTGATTTATTCAATTATCTTCTTTTCTACAATAACTTTGAATATAATACTACTACACAAGTAGTAAATCATATTTTTTTAAAATTTTCTAATAAATTCGAAAAACAAAAAAAATAGAAATAAACAATCCAGTCAAATGTTACATTTGACAACTTTTTCTGCTACATACAATTCTGACTCATAAATAATATTGAATGTCTACTGAAAACTTTGTTACAATCTAATTAAAGAGTTTTGTAGAGAATAATGAAGATCTAATTAGGGACACTGATTTACGACAGAGAATAAAACTATAAAGTTAGAAAAAAAAGAGTTTAATCATATCTACACCTACATATTACTTAGGTTTAAATAACAAAGTTGTTGTTGTTTTGTTTAAATACTAAAAAAATGAAATGATTATGTATTTAAAGCGTTTTCAGTTGTAGCTAATATTGGTTAACATCAGTTTGACAGAAGATTAAAAATGTCACTAAGACAATAGTAATAGAAATCATTTTAATAAAAATTAAGAATGAAATAATTATTTGGAAACAAAATTGATTGTAAAAAACAGTTTCACCTCTAATTTAACGTAGAAAAAAAGTTAGTAGTTATAGAATTAGTCCGGTAGAAAATCTTGGACATAAGTTTTCTTCTAGTTGACATAAGTCAGTTAGATGTATATGTAATCCTGAGGGTATAATGCTCGCTCAGCTTCATCAACATAAACCGTATTACAACTTTATTAAAAGAATTCAATGAGCACAAAATGACTTGAAAAGTATGATAGTGATTTCTAGTCAGCGATCAATCAATTGTAAAACAGAAAATGTTTTATTTTTATAGCCAATATTACATGACGGATTAATTCATGGTCTTCATGAAGAATTAGGATAGATTATCGGGCGCTATGTCTAGGATTAAGACTTATTAATGTGATAAGCATCCTTGATTTTACATATACTGGCTACATGTCTTGCTAAATTCAAATTCGATACCCTTGTAATATCGAAAATATGTACTACATTACAAATTAAGATAAAAACACTATTCATCATTGTTTGAGTTTTCAGTGATTCCACAGTAGACAATGATAGAACAATATCAAAAAGAGGAAAATTCAGTATTTTTTGATTTGTTAAGTGAAACCTATAAACATCTTTGAAGTTGACTTGTAAACTTGTTTGAACAACATAGTAGTACGTGAATAATGAACAGTTAAGTCACAATCAATCCTATTCATTAAAATCTCAATAAGAGAAAAGATTGAATTTTAATAAGTTGAAGTGCTTGTCTCAAACTAGAGCCTCTGATATCTGAGTTATAAGACAAAACTAACTATTCATAACTATCAATTTATATAATTTTGATTGGAAAATTAAATAAGATCATTATTTTCATTTATGTATTTTTCTAGGTATCTCATTCTAGACATTTATTATGTTCATGATGAAGCTACCTAGTCCTACTGATGAAACATTCACGAGAGAAATAATGAAAATAAAAGAAAATCAGAAATTTGTTATTTTCACTAGTACACTAAAAATCTTGTTATTGGTAACAATAATGACATTAATCACAACTTACCCAAATACTGAAACATTGACAATCATTTTAATATTTACTTGTAATTCATTAGTTAATTGTCCTTCAACTTGTATGGGATTATTAGAACTTCTAAAAGTTGGAAAAGTGAAAAAATATACGTGCAACCAACTTAAAGTGTGACTAATCATTCTATGTATTAGTCCTATTTATATTTTGAGAACAATTTTTGTTATTTTAATATAATTGAAAGCCACGATGTACTGAAAATCTGTTCCATCCAACTATGCGGTTGCCAAACAGTACGTATCGCAGACTATTCCTGAGGTTGGTCCCAGAACTGTCAGTTGTCATGGAGAATGTACTACTTCTAAAACTCTGATTTTGAATTCGATCATCCTGTTGCATATCAATAATATTGAACAAGTCTGGACTATTAGGATGCAACTCAATAATCTAAAAGTAACGCTGTCTTTTGGTGTCTGTGTTTTATAGCTGATGATCCTTGTGCACCACAGTGAAAAAATAACAGCAAAATGCTTTATGGTTTTCAGTGTTGCTTTAAATGATGTGACGAAAGCCATTTGTGGATTCTACTTATGATGAGAGCAGATGACAAACTCATACATATAGCTTTGAAAGCATTCATTTAGAAATAACATAATTTATTATCGCATTTAAAGTGAAATTAAAGCCAATATAATATACTGAAGTATGATATTCTGGATAATTATGTTTATGTGTGTAGAATTTATTATCTAGATATGTAATTATATTAAGAAATACTATAAAATTTAGTAAAACAAACGGTTTTCACTATTTATTTGAATACTTTTCAGTAATTTACTAGCATTTATTCGCTATAAAATTGAGATATGTACAGTTAAAACTTTATCCAGTGTGTGGGGTTGAAGTGGGAATAAAAACCTAAAAAGTTTAAACAAATGTTTTGTTGTAACATGTGACTGCAGGTTAGATGCGCAGCGTTTTATCGATCGATCACATTAACACGTAAACCACGTAAGGACGACCTAGAGTCCCGATTGGTCCCGCTTCCCTGTCTAGCCCAGCCAGTTGAGTCTGGAACGCAAATCACAGCCTCTGAGTTATGAATCGTTATACTTCAAACATACTCCGTTTATATACCAACCAAACAGACCAAATTGTACCATAAAAATAAAAAACAACATCTGTACAATATTTAACGAGTGAAATAAATAATGGCCAATAGGGAACGCCCATTTAGAGTCCAAGGACATCATTAGACTTAACATGATAATGATTAGTATATTCCTCAGCATACCTAACATGTTTCACTGTATTTCAAAAGTATCAAAAAGTGAGGAACATACTATACCAAAATACTTTTAAGTTTCATAATGTGCACTATATCAACCAGCTAAAATAGGACTTATTTATATTTTACATATTCAGTAAATTAATGATTTATTGAGACTATCACTCATCATCATCATCAATAGGGATCTATTACCAATATTCGAATTGATTGACCAAACACATTTCATTCACCTTGCGGCAAGTCACCAATGCCCACTCAATGATACCAGATGTTAAGCGATTCTTGGTTTTTCAAAATATTCTTCATCTAATGAAGATTATCTTCATATCTAGTCTATACCAGTGATATGAAGGGTTTAAATCTGAAAAGCAGAACATATTAACTTTATATGGTATCAGTGGGAGACTACCAAACTAGTAAATAAGTTAAAATTCATGGTATTTACCATGGGGGTTAGAAAAAAGACCCATTATTCATGTGTGCATATTTACAGTAAACAAATGAAACCGACTAGAAAAAAATACAAAAAGACCCATTAAATATAGCAAGATATTTTAAAAAAATGAACAAGCAAATGACTTACATTAATACAGTACTATTTACATGAAATTTAGCCATTTGTACAGTTAACTGATGTCCGATTACAAGCCATCGTATCATACATTCACTTGATTCACCAGAAGCCAATGGATATTGAAGATGACAGATTGCTGTATCCGGTTGAATTAAACTGGCTTCTTTAAGCTAAATTGAAAAAAACAAATCATTGGTTATACGGTAATTCTAAAAAAATGAATGATTAAACCAAATAAATAAACACAGAAAAAATTAAACTAAACAGTGTTTTTCATGTATGTATAGACAATAATTAAAAGATGACCAAGAAGAAAACTAATCAAAACTAGACGTGGATAAAAATTCAATTTTTGTGATTTTTGCCGTTTCTCACATACCCTACAATCTAGTTGTTTTAGAGTGATTGCTTCCCGTTTACTCATTGCAGTCATCCTTGAGACGATGTTTCCTAACTGCATTGCAGGGAGCAGGTTGTAACACAAACCATTAACGAAAAAAGGCCATGTGAACATTGAATTGTTATCAGTAGTTAGATCAATACATTTCTAGACGGTGTTATACTACTTTTACATTTGAAATCTAGTTGTTGTTATTGTCTCTTGGAATCATCAAATGGAACAAAATGACAGCCAGATATGAAGCATTTTGTTTATAATATATTCTGTTTAAACGTTTGTTAATAAAATAAATGAAAATATTGATAAGAGAAGAATGGTAAAGATGAGACTGATCAATCGCAGTTCTCAACACCAATGGGAAGATTCAAACAAACAATACAACTAAATTAAAAATGATTTAATGCGGATAAAAAAAGCAGAATAAAGAGAAAAAAACGAACTGCACATGGATTAATAAAATGATGGTAACTCAATTTCAGGGATTGGTTGAAGTTAGACATTAATACCATTGGATGCCGGCCGGCTCAGTGATCTAGAGGTTAAGCATTCTCGCGCGAGACTGATAGGTCATGGGTTCGAACCTTGCGGGGCGGAATCGTGGATGCACACTACCGAAGAGTCCCATACTAAGACGAAACGGCCGTCCAGTATTTCCAGGTTTTCAATGATTGTCTAGCTTTAATTGACTCATGAATTCAACCATGATTTATTAGTTTGAATAATCCATGTATTGTGTCATGTGGTGGCAGTATTACATGGGAATATGAAAGACTGAAAACGGAATTTGTATTTAAACCAGACTGGTAGATACGAAAAAAAACTATGTGAGATTCCATGTGAGAGTTGAGAAAACTCGATATTTATATCAATTCATTTACTAGATCTATAAGAAGTGATCAAGAGTAAGATCACTGATTAAAACAATATGATCATTGATGAGTTCAACATTTACTTGGATTTCCACATATTTATTTATGAATTATTTCAGTATGTTTTTCTATTGTATTCTGATGAATATTCACTCAGTTTTGATTCTTGTTTAGTATAAAATTCGTTTTTCATTACAAAAATTTAGATGACATTATCCACTGAAAAGGAAACCTGTATATAAAACATGGCATTTTTCCCAGTTTCAGATCACATTGTAGGGCTGAGTTAATTGTTTTAAGGGGTATAATAAAGGGTAATTGCTTTCCGTTTACTGATTGCAGTCATCCTTGAGATGATATTTTTTAACTGTGTAGCAAGGAGCAGGTTATAACAAGGATCATGAATGAAAAAAGGCCATGTGATCATTTTATCGTTAAACCAATACATTTCTAGACGGTGTTGCATTACCTTAATAATTGAAATTTTAAATCAAAAGCATGAATTAAACTCTTATGGCCACCAAATCTCTTATTTAAGTGTATACATAATATTTCACCACTATCAAAATTTTCCACAATCTGAAATAAGGAGTGGATATGTATATGATATATCATTTTATACCTTAACCATATAATTCCTTCAAGCATAATATTGCTCACAAAATCGCTCGTTACCTTTAAAAGACTCAACCCATATAAATCATTTTTTAGAATTTTTATCTCCAATCTTATCTCCCAACTAATTTATCGGATATGATATTTTTCAGTCTACAGAGGGGTCTATGGACAGTACTTATATTAAAATACTCTGAATTTCAAAAAAATTATATACAAAACACTAGTGAAATAACGTATCAGTCCAAATCGTACATTTCATGATAAATATTTATAGATGTATAATTTCTTTGTCTCTTATAATGAACTATACGTTAAATGTTAGCTTTACTATTCATGTTATTGATTTAAAGATCTCATAATATATTGAGTAAGAAGAAACGAATTATAATCTTATATGAATATGACATTTTAAAATACATAGAGAACATCTGAAAATAATCCAATCAATTCATTTCATTTTTACTCTCTCTACAAATCAGTGGAACTATGTGGACAATGCAAAGTGAGTTAATATGATTGTGAGTAAGCTTTATGTTATAAAATATTGTACTTTATAAGATTTGTATGTACACAGCTGATGTTCAGCTGTCCAATAGTTTTCTGTATGAGAATACAAAAAATTTCACATACAGTTATAATCACAGACGTTTTTATATCCACCATAAATAACATATAATTTGGATTCTCATGGTTTACATCATGAACTAATTTAAACTAGATCATCATTGGAAACCTGAAAGCATCGGATGTTTATTTCGTTCTTGTATGAAACTTCTCAGCAGTGCGCATTCACGACCTCGGGATCTTCGGTCTCGCGCTCTAACGCCTAACCTCTAGCCCGCTGAGTCGGCATTAAACAGTGTTGGAGTATAACTTAAATAGATGATATCGTGCAAGTCACATCCATTATTTGCGGTTGATATGTCTCACATCCGACACTACTGGAGAGTCCCACATTAGGACAAGACAGCTGTCCAATGCTTCTGGATTATTGATGGTAGTCTAGCTAATATCAGTTTGTGATTTAAACTGTAAAAATTCTACAGTCTCCAGAAATCTTCTATGCACATCTTTTGATTAGCTACAGTTTAATTTATAAAATTTTATAGATTCTATAGGTTAAACAGAAAGATATAAAAGTATTTCTTCAATCAAATATTCATATTTTCAATGAATGATTATGTAGTCTACGACAAAATATGTTTGAGAAGTAAGTAGAAACACGTCTCTATTCATAATTGTGGTCTGTCACAAATTAATAAAGTATTAAATGTGTTATCTATTTGGTTTCTATTCGATTGATAGGTAACCTTTTCATAGGAGTTAAAATGTTTATCCTTATTTATGTACTAAGTTTAGTACTTATTATGCTATCAGAAAAAAAATCATAGCAAACAATAAATAATCATTCAATACTGATTTTTTTTCTAGTGATTCTAACCCTTGTCAATCGAATATAATCTACTATTCGAGTTAATCAGAAACTATAAATCAAAGAAAAAGTGTGGAACATTTTTGCTTGATATTATCATTTGCATTTTATTGAAAATGATCCAGTTTCGAGTAAATTTTTCTGGTACATTCGTCTAACCCGTTATTAATGAAGTCACTAATGGAAACAATTATAAAATTCTTTTTTTTGGATACTCTTTTTGTATCCGTCTATTATCATTTCGGTTAATAAAATACCACTTTTGTTGTGTATAGAGAATGATATGAAACAAAATCGATATTGTAAATAACGCCTAAATTGATTGAATTAACTTTGAATCACAAATACATCTATATAGTAGGTGTTAAATAAGTATAGGAAACGAAACACAACGTCAAAACAACTGAGTTATATTTTGATGGAGTTTTGTTCTACCTAAAGTTTGTGTGGATGATGTCGTTCAGAAAAATGATGAAAGCTTCACGACTAAACCATCCGGCTCAGAGAACAAAACTCTATCAAAATCATTTACCTGAGCTACAAATCTTCTCCACCATTTCAACTGAGATATATCTTACGATTAAACATTGTTTTTGTAAGGTTTTGAACAGAATTTTTTTGGTTGTCAGTGTAAATGTCTTCAAGATTACGCAGAAGTCATGACTTTAGGAAGGATCAGATTATCATGCTTTAATTGAAACTTAACATTATTAAAAACTAAAGAATACATTACTTTATTGATCTTTCAGTGGTTATTACGTGTTAGAACACTTAATTTTTTAGTAAAATCAACAGTACAACTTACAGTTGAATCAAGTTCCAATAAATTTGGTAGAAAATTGCTGACTAATCCAGTAGCATAAACTAAATCATTGCCAATATTTGTTACACGAACGGATAATTCAATTGTTTGATTATTATCATCACCCACATAAACAACAGGTCCATTTTTATCTCTAGAATAGCATGATAAAGTTGAGAAAGAGAAGAGATTATTGCTAAGAATTATTTGGGAATTGCAAATGACAGGTTTGCTTATACACGGATTATTAAATTGTGTAAAGTTTATAATCTGGTTGAAAATACCTTTAGTTTCAGATATCCTTTGAAGTATTTACTACGAGAAGTATTAGTTGATTTAGAACAAAACATCTATGGTCTATTTCATATCTCTTTACTAGACTTGTTGATTTCAGTACTGAAAGTAAAGTCTCATTGGTTTACAAACTGGATTTTACACAACTAGATTAGTTTTCGTAAACTTGAGCTCAGATACATTATATCGAGCTGATTCTTAAAAGTAGACACTATTCATATTTTCCTATATAAGCGCAAACATAAAATGGAAAATATTCATCGATTAGCAACAAACAACTATTATCATATTCGTAAAAAGTTGTCCACAGTTATTACTATGGTTTATTCGGGTCTATTCAGCAGTACTGTGATCTCTTATACAGTGAAATCAAAAACAGTGACGGGCACCTATAAATGATTACCTTCTTGAATACACGGGATTTCTGGACCTTTCTGACTTTAAACTATAAATGTTTCAATTCACTTGGTGTTTGTTCTACTTGTAATTAACCTTTGATTGTATCAATTTGCTTTCAACGTTCAACTGACCGATAGTAATTACAATACAGTGAAAATATTAAAATTTTTCATTCAACTAGATATATCACTTCAAGAGTGAATGAACATTTAGATGTCACATCAATAAGGCTTGACATATGTTTGTAAAAATATAGTATTGTTTAGTTTTTAGTGTTGGATAAATTCTATTGATCAAGTTGCATTGTAGCTAACAGATATTTAACATGGTGAAACACTTAATCTATTATTAGGTTATTGATATCATTCAATATTGGAAGATGCAATTTCGAATCTTACATGGAACATCGGTTCTGATGAGAAAGTTGGTACACCTTGTGAACAGGTGCTAATTAGTGGAAAATTTACACCCAGGGCCTTGTGTTGACTGCATTCATCCAGTTCTTATTGTCGAAAAGTTGTTGATTTCGAGCAATGTTACGACTACGTCATGAAAACCAGAATTATATTCTATTATGTTATTCCAGTTGGAAAGCTAGCCAATAAGGTATTTATGTGTTGTATTAGTGTATATTAATAACACCAAGGACAACAAATGACATCTCACATGATTCTCTGTGCATGTATATTCGCAAATAAAAGACTCTGTCTTGAGTCAATAAAAGTACGAGTAGGTTTATTTGTCACTCAAAATATTTTGAATAGTTTGATGAAAAGATTTCATTGATAATGATCATAAGACTTATTCGGTTAGATAGAACAGTCGATCATGTGATACATAGTGGTTCCAGTCTTTCTCCTACATACTAGATTGTGTATTTTTAATCAGAAAATCGTATAATTCGTGATGATAATCGAATATTTAATAATAGAACAATCTGATATCTCACACATTATACTATTGTTTAAAATGAATCTATCTGTTAGATATTGAATCAATGAAGGATGTAGTAAAAAAAGAATCTACTCTCAAATAATGATCTATTTCTCTATCAGTTCAATATATAATTTAATTATGATATTTACGATAATTTCAATTCAACACATTTGTTACTTCTAATACAAATTAATTTCTTGTTTATTTCATGTAATTTAAGTTAAAGTTTCATTATGAACAAGAACTAGAAAATTTAGTTCTTTTTTTCTCTCTCTTATAAATCAAATATTGATATTAATTAAAACATTTCATCTTTAATCTGGTTACTAAGTTGTTTCAGTTCAAATTAGACCAAAGAATAATTCAATTCATTTTTAAAATTAAATAAAATTGAAAATATGAATGATTTTAAGAAAGAGTATAATCATTACAAAGATTGCAGTTATCATGTTCTATTAAATAAACATTTATTAATATTAACTATTGTTGAAAAGTTCTAGAATAAGTTGAAACGATTACTTGATAGCTATTAAAAAGTAAAAGCTGATTGATATGAGTCTGAGACAAAAAAGCTGTCATCAGCATGTGAATAAAATGTTTTCATTTGTAGGTATTGATTTTCATTGGAATCATCCACAACCAGGTTGATGTTAGACATTGACACTGTTGAATGTCAACTCAATGGTCTAGAGACTAAAACGTTTGAGTGCCAGACCGAGGGTTCTGGATTTGAACACAGCGTGCGGGGTCGTGGATGCGCACTATTGAGGAGTCTCATACTAGAGCGGAACAGCCATCCAGTGCTTCTAGGTTTTTAGTGATGGTTTAACATTGATCGGTTTATGGTTTCAATGAAATTCACTAATCTCCACAACCCCAAAATAAAGCTAGTAATTTATTTAGAAGCAAGTTAGTTATTCCAACCAGAAACAGATAGAAAGGATTCAACGTGGAAATTTTCACAGGTTTGACAACTCGAGAAGATTATTAGTAAAGGAAATTAATTAAAGTGAATTACTAGATTATTAAGAGTGTCAAGAGGCCTTAGGTTGATTGCGAAGGATGTTGAGTTTACAGGATGATGTTTACCGACATGACAACTACTGAGGTAGTAAATTATTTCGTTACCTCAATCTCTTTTCATTCGATTCATAATGAAAGTAGATTAATTCCACTCGATGTTTTCTTCTAGAGTGGATCGATTTTTTCTCGAGTGGAGATAAGAAAAAAATAACTTGTCCAAGATATAATAATAAAAATTCCATTCAATGATGCTTCCATTAAGCATATATAATGGAAAACAATGTCTTGACTATTTAAAGAAAACAGTTCAGTAAGCTTCCATCATAAAATAAATACCAAGCTTTAACTGAATTATGTTTATTTCGAAAAGATGAGAGTGAAATAAAGTTTGAAAATGTACAAAATTTGCAAAATAAATACAAATATATCAATTACCTGGTTACTTTCACATTATAACTAACTCTTACAGTTGGGCAACATTGTCGAATTGCACAGGGATTATCAAAAGATATCTGACATTACAAATTAAAAAAGAATTTGAATTTATGAACTATATATATATCGTAATATTGAATTATTTGAAGCAATTGTTATAGTATGACAGAGTATTTTGATATAATTAGTTGTCAGCGTTTGATTGTTGATAGTAGAACCTGAATTTTGATGAGTTTTCATTAGTATATATGCATCTTGTGTGGTTTACCTTGACATGGCTCATTTTTTATCAGTGGGATAACTCAAACTATTACTACTAACATATGCATCAAACAAATTAGTGGCTATCAGAACTCAGTGGATAACGCGTTGGAAAAAATTATTATGCTTCAGTTCTAATGTATACATTAATATTAGGTTCTAGATACATTCAATTGACTAGCCTTACATACAGCGAAACATGCACTCTGGATTTTAATGCCTAGCCATGTACATTGTATCTTGATTTATAAAGTGATTGATTTATTTTTTACATAAATAGATTTTATAATAGCAACAGATGTTTTAAACTTAAATAATAAGCCTTATAGTCACGGCAACTTTTATCTCACACATATCTGTATCTCTATTAATTACTCGTCCTTCGGAATAATTGAAATATATTAGTATGATTGTCGAGGATTGACTTAATAATAACAAAATGTTGAGTTACGTAGATTTTTAAAAACTACTGGCTGCTCTCAACTGGAGGACCATCGAAATTCGTGATAAATTGAGTATTCTTTTGTCCTTGTTTGTGACTCCTTAGTAGTTCATACTCACCACCTCAAACATAATATGCAATTCAAAACATTTATGTCCCGTGACATCTAAACCACTTAAACTATGGATTTAAATGTCAATTTAACTTTTGATAGCTCCACAGTTGATTTCATTCTGAAATGGGAACCATAATTAAGTGACAAATTGATTTGTGTAACTCCACCAAATTATACCTAAGTACTGTGTTGTATAAATTGATTATTAGAAGAAAAGATGAAGCATTGTATAGTTCAACAAATACGTTTGTAGAAAAGCTGAGGACTACTAAATACTAGAATGGTTTAATTTCGTATTTAAGAAAAATATTCTAAAAAGCGAATATAAACATGTAATAAAACTAAAATTAGCAATGTAATAACTCAGAGGCGTTCTGTTGTTAGCAGTATATGTTCAAACTAATAATTATTAGATATCAGCTTATTTGAATTGTAACTATGATAGCTATGGGGCTTCGTAGTTTAGTCTTTAAACAAATATAGTTCGAAGTAAAATGTTATTTTACTGTTCAGTTTATTCACCATAACAGAAATCTGTATATAATAACGTTTAATTAAAATGTGAACTTCCAATTAGATGCCAAAAGAGTGCATATTATCTTATCAATGTTAATGTTTTGTTTTTGTAATAACTATCAGGTTTGATGATATAAGTTTGGATCTCACAAGAATCTCCCATTACCCTGGGATTGCAGTAATACCTTACTAACGAACCAGAATTGGCAAAAACCTAGTTCTAAGGCATCTAATGGTTTGTTCTTAACTACCTAACAGGAATAAAAGAGTTTCTATCATTTTAGGAGTAAATATTTTTACCCATATTACCCAAATTCTGCAAGATAGTGATATAGCATTATAAGTCAAGTAATTTATAAATGGTTGATCTTTATTTCTTTTTAATTACTGAACTGTAAATATAAGGGTATTTACATAATCGAACGTTATATCCTTATATTTGTTTGGCTTATTCATAGTAAATAAACTACAATTGATTTTTAGTCTTGATATACTTTGTTTTCTATTACAATGAGATACTTTAATATTGTTGGCAGCCTTCATAATAAATATGTAAAGCTTGAAGTTCCTAGGCTCGATCTCATGTCTAGTTGTGTGTTCACTTTTAAAGAGTATTCTACTTGAATAAAATAAAAGTTCATTGTCTTATGTTTTTTTAACCATTGTTTAGCTATTATTAGTTCAGGATATAAAACTCTAAAAGAAAACTAGCAAATTAAAAACTGTTAGTGAACTAAGTATCCGTTATAAGCAAAGATGGATAGTGGCTAGCAGTGGAATCCAGGACGCGCGTTTCGTCCTGTTTGGGGCTCGTCGGCTGGATGTACCTGCATCTCAGAGTTGATGTTCACTCTGGGACTCGAACTCAGTACCGTTTGCTTCAAACGCCATCGCGTTATCCACTTAGCTACTGAGTCCTGATAGCCAGAGTGAACATCAACTCTGAGATGCAGGTACATCCAGCTGACGAGTCCCAAACAGGACGAAACGCGCGTCCTGGATTCCACTGCTAGCCACTATCCATCTTTGCTTATAATTGCTTGTAAATTAAGGCAATATCGAGGCATACGCACAGTGTGCACATATGCCAATAAGAGACTGATCAATTTCAGTCCTAAAACATCAATGGGAAGATTCAAATAAAACAATATCAAGTGAATTAAGTATCCGTTAGTTAGTTTCAGTTAACGTTTGATCTAAATAACTAGGTGCTTGATTTATTGCATTTTCGAATAATCAGTCAACTAATTACACAGATGAAAGTTTGATATTTTTCAACACATTATCGCCCAATTGTTTTCTTTATTGAATAATGATTTCTACCGTTATATATATATTATGTATAAATTACGTAGAAATGTTTTAAAAAATTTAGTTTTTTTTTACCTGAAGTAGTTCAGTATTTGCACGTGGATCGGCTACAGGATACTCGTCAATTTGATCAGCTAATGGATATGGTTCAGTCATTTTAGCAATCCATTTGACACCAATTTTTAAACGATCAGTTTGATCAATCAAATATGTATCCTAGACAGATAAAGAGTTAACGGAAACTATAAAATGGGTTACATATTTAAATGTATACAATACTTTGTGACAGATGAACTTCTTATTGCATTGGGTTCTTAGTAGGCTTGAGGTTACATTCTTACTTAGACTTTTTAGTGACCCCAACAAATTCTATGTAATTTGTATCCGATATATTTGAGTTAAATAGACAAATGGTAATAAATAAGGTAATCATGTTACAGCGTCTAACCATTAAGTACATTGAATTCTATCATTATAATTTGCTGACTAACTTATATAATTAGAGTCATTTTTTTCAGCAGAATCAAAATTAACTAAATTTTAGACATACTATCAAGAAAAGGTCTCTTTTTCGTTTTTTCCTTCTTCCACCTGACAATTTTCAATACTTTATTATGTTTATTAAAATCATAAATGTACCTTTGTTAAACACGGAAAATATAACATAATTTCATGATGAAGACAAATGACGATTGACCATACAGTATGGTTAGAAAAAAAATTTTTTTCGTAAATAATTTCACATTGTAGACTTTTACACAGATTTTTTATGTAAATACTTAAGTTCAAGCTCCCTATAATTTCCCTTTATTTGATGAGCTATGAAGTGTAAACAATGTCACAAACTTATTGAAATGCATTAGATGGAACATAAACAAATATATATATATATATATATATATATATATATATATATATATATAACAAGCAGACAAGTTTTCATCAGGATAAACTTACTCGAAATATTATTCGTAATGTACTAGCTAAATTCAATTCATCTTGATTGAATGGTATATTCTCTTTTATTTTGTGTAGATCACGACAAAAAGCATTACCTTCTAATTGTAAATATCCACCAGGACTATCATAACCCGTCAGATAAGCAGATTCATTACGTTTAAATAATCTTTAACAATCATTTCACTATTTGATAAACTTTTCTCTCGTATAAAGACAATTGGTGATAAAGTATAATTTTTATAAAATTCTTTCATAATATTTTTGGAAATTATAGTTGAATATTGATTATAGGTGCATTTACTTTCGTAATTTGGTGGATGATTTTGTGAAGTTTGATCCCAACCTTCTGAAATCCATTCATTGGTTGGATTGTATTTCAATAAAATTGATACTGGATACGTTTTATGTGGACTACAAGATATACTGTTTAAATAAAATGATAATAAACAATTATTTATTTGAATAACGTTTACAAAATTAGAGTGAAAATTAAATTTATAGTGAAATCGATGCATTGATTATGCGATGTAGTGCCTAATGGGAGACATTAAGACCTATATCTGAATTCATGTAGGGATGGTGAATTTACACTGGTTGGGAAACCTCATACTGAGATGAAGTAACTATCCAGTCATATCATTTTTTGATGGCAATTACTTTAGAAATGTTTAAGAAAAAGAACTTTTGCTCAGAATGTCGAAAGAAATAGTGAGCTACAATTGAAATGAACATCTATGTTTGAAGTTAGTAATCAGTGTAACATATGAAACATGTTTTTATATGCCAAAGGTGTAGCATCAACAAGCAAAGTGATTGGTTTTTAAACTGAGTTATACAGGTATGTCCAAACTATGTAGCTGAAGTTGGCGAGATAACTGCGATCATTAATTAAATGTATTATGTGACATGCTTTGGAACTGCTACCAATGCCTCACCTATATCCATCCTAAACATATTTTCTTTCCGAAGTATATTCTTGATTGTTTATTGTTTACTATTACCACTGTTACTATTTCTAATAGGGCTACTTAGCTAAATAGCTAATTTTATTTCACTGTACTGACTCATATTTATGCCAAACTTAATGTTGATTATGAATGACAGAGTGACTTTCTTTCATGCTCTCTAATCATATCATGAATATTTAAGATTATTGTTTTAAATATGAGCTGTATACTCTTAATTTCAGTTTGAAGAAACGTTTCTTAGCTAATAAATTTCGCTTCACAATTTATTGAGACAACTGTCATTATCGATAGCAAAATCATTTCAAGAAATATATTCAGTCGATTTCAAAATGTTAAGCAAATCTATTTGATAGGTACCTCAACAGAGGTAATAAATCTCTGCTAGTGCTGTTTTTGACACTCGTCAGCGAAATGTAACTGGCTACATAGAATGTGACATTACAATTGAGCTATTCGGATCACAACTAACATTGGTCACTACTCAGTAACTAATTCATTATAAATTATCACCAACTGCATATATTATTATCGATGATTCCTAAAAATATAATTTTTTTTCGATTATTAATGAAAATGAAAGAAGAGAATGAAATAATTATGAAAATGTCACGTAGTAAAAAAAATCAGTCAAGGGAATAGTGGGGAAAAATTTTAGCACACAGTTTAGATTTCTCTTTTCTAAATGAAGGTAATAATCACATTTCCCAACAAAACAGTTTAAAATCGGTAGGCAGAAAAGATAATTTTATTCACTGAGATTTATGATGTGAGAATTATGTAATCTATGAAAAAGTTCGGACGAGTTTGATGGACAAAACGTTGGAATTAGTTAAATTTTAATCGCTGAGATTAATTCAAATATAATTTTCACATATAATGACTCCTCTATACTTGGCACGCAAATTTTTGTCAAACTATTCGTTCTAATATTGACGAATATTTGTATAAGTCAGTTATGTTGCTTTAAATTTTTAGAATACTCATTTTATTATTCTTTGCATAATTCCACTATACGTTTTGTTTATTCGATATCTATCTCATTACTAGCAGTGGATTCAGGACGCGCGTTTCGTCCTATTTAGGACTCGTCAACTGGATGTACTTGCATCCCAGGGTATGCTATGGAGAAAACGAATTAATTCAATAACATAACTGGACATTTATATCATAGAAAATATGAACTAAAAATTTATTCATTGAAATAGAGCTTATTTTAAACTCATTGAAAATTGTGATTCCAAATAATTTTTAAACAGAAAAAACCGTGAATTTTTTCTTTACTACTTAAAGTGTATAGAGTTAAATTTTAGGGCAGACTAAATAATTTACTGGTAATAACTATGTGAAAAAAATTTGAAGAGAACTAATCAGGTTGCCTAAAGATCAACATGCGGACGTACACTTTATTGATGATCCTCAATGGTTTGGAAATGATTTTGAGTAATGAAGATGCAAATAATACATTTGAATATTCTTCATAAAAACTGTAAAATGATTAAGGTTAGAATTTAGGCTTGAGACTAGGAGTTTGAATTGAAATTTAGGATTAGGATTGTCAGCACTCATAGCTGTTAACTGAAATCTGATTGCGCCATCAGTTAAGTATACTTTTGATGATAATCAATAAGGTACCACCAGCAAGTAGTATAGGTATGTATTCTAATTCAGTCAGTTAGAAAACAGCATAGATTATTGAAAATTTTAAAGAATTTTGTCGAGCACATAACAATAATAAACATAACAATAATAGTACTTTCTGCTTTGAATGGAATGTATTTCTTTTTGTAAACCTACATAAGACAAATAGACAAATAATGAACTTCATTTTTCAAACAATGAATAGTTGCGAGAAAATGCTTTAAATTATCAAAGTATTATTTGTAGAACATGTTTTAACATTGGAAAACTAAATTTTCTAAAATCATTCCATGTATAGTTTCGAAAATAGTTTCGTTGATAATTGACTGTTTAACTCTGCCTGGAGCCCCTCTGAGACTACTATCGGTCTTAAACTCGGATAAAGGGGGGGCGTTAGGTATGGGATTAGCGACCCCATCCCGTAGAAAAGTAACTCACTAAAAGACACTAAACAAAAAAACAGTTCAAACCATTTAAACTCTGCCCTGGGAGTTAGAAGTTCTTCATTGAGAAGAGTTATGACGTCTCATGATGAAAGCCGAGTAGATAATTGACTATTTGTAATATTTTGATAGGAATTGTATATCTTTTTGTGTTAGCTAAATAGTGACGACTACTTTATACATGAATATGGTGATGACATATAGTACTTATTTACAGAAAATATTATTCTCAAAATTCTTTTTAAACCAAGTTGATAGTATAAGTTTTAGTATCAAATTAGATAATATACTTGAAAAGCAACACAAATAAAACAAATAAGAATTTCAATTTTACATTCAGACGAACCACACATATTCAATGACTGAATGAGTAGTTTTGCACACGAAAAACGTTAATGTGACCAAGATTACCTCCTTTTGGGGATTTTAACGTTTCTTAAATAGGTAATAATCAGTTTGATTATCATATACGAGTATTTTGGAAAATATAAAAAAATGCTTTGATTTTTCAGTGGTGATTTTATGTTAATCTTTTCTCCAGAAAGATATGCATCATTTTCTAAAATAATTATTACGTCATGCATCATAAAAGTAACTATTGAAAATTTAAACTAAGTTTTCAGTGTTTTAGGTGTTATTCTTTTGTTGATATGTTGGAGTGATCCAGAAGATTTCTTGCAAAAGACAAGCAAGCATCAGGAAACACTAAGAAGCGTTTCATCCAGTCAGCGTTCACTTGAAGTTTTAGCTAAAAATATCAAGGAAGTGAAACGTCACATGCAGAGGTTCTGATTGGTTGGTTGTTACACTGCTACTATGTTTAGTAGCATTCCAGAATCTTCTAGCAACCCAAGGACATTTAAAATATTATAAAAATCTTGTATTTTCTGTATTGACATGAACCTTGGAGTAAAGTACTTCTCGCATACTTTGCGTCTTCTCTCTCGTTGTTCAGGTTGCTGTATGGCTCTAGCTTGGGGGTTACAGAATAGCTTAGGAAACGAATATAGCGTTCATTTCGCAAGACTTATCATGATATTACTGACTGGATTTTGATCACTTTTAGTCGCAATATGTAGATCGTGTGAGGATTGTTTCAATATAGACATTTTGTCACAAAATTCACAGAAAATATGGTTTATGGCTAGCAATAGAGTCTAGAACGCTCGTTCCATCCTATTTAAGACTGATCATCTGGAAGTGCATGTATTCCAGCTTTGATATGAATAACTACTTGAACTCAACGGCTAAGAGAATAACGCGTTTGGAGTTTAAAGAGGAAGATATTGGTTTAGAATCCCGCAGTGAATGTTAACTCTATTATGTGAGTACCCTAACCTGACGAGTCGCGAATAGGACGAAACATGTGTCCAAGACTCCACTGATAGACAGAATTCATCTTTTCCATAGAACATTCAAAATATATCCATCTTAATATGTATAATTAAAATTACGTATAATTCAAAATTCTATTAGATTCAGTGCATTATTTGAATTAATTATCAAAATGCTTTCAAAGGAATGAGAAATCGGATTAAAAGCCATCAAACATTAAAGGAGGGAAAACTCGATTACGGAATTCAAAGACTGATGTACTTTGTTTCTAATTGCGTGCGATATTTCATTGATTTCCACAAGAAATTACTAAACAAGGTAAATGAACAGTTTAAACATATAATTAAATGATGTATTTAGTTATTAAATGAATAATACATATAGTATTTGTAACTTACCCATCAACACTGGTGTATGTGAGAATTAATTTCATATCAATACATTTAGCCGACGGAGCTTTATATCCAGTAATCGATTGAGCTTCATGAGTACAATCCACTAATGAATTTAATGAACTAGGCAGAGTAGTACTACCATCCATTAATGTTAAATATGCTCTTAGCCTGCATAAATAACAAAAATACTTTAATAATATATGGATAGTGAAATTTTAAAAAAAACTGAAATATTTGAAAAAGATATTTTTCACTTGAAATGACGGTTAATAATTTCAGTGTAAGATTTCTTGGTGGAGATTTATGTCAATCCAGAAACTCTATATCATAAAAGTAGATCTTGTAGAATTCCATACAGAAATGATGGACTGACTGATGTATTTCAAGCAACATTTATTTCTTAAGTGGATACATTCAATGAAATATTTCAAACAATCGAGATTAGATTTTGCATAGCTTAAATCACGAACTGATCACAGTTACATAGCTGTTGAATACTAGGAAGCATTAGACAGTTACCACTTTCAAAAATGGCACTCTTCTATTTAGGACCCCACTGGGATTCAGAATTAAATGCTGCAGGTCTCGCGCCAACCGCATGACTTTTATATTATTCTATTAAAGCTCTGAGAATTAATTATTGAAATTAGTCACTAATGTACATATGACTATTAATAGAAATGATTCATTTAAAAATAAAATGGAAGTGCTTAGCTTCCTACAACCAACAACACAACTACCAGTTAATCCTCTTTGTTCTTGAAAGAATAAACTGATAATGATTCAACGATTTTCTGATTTATGAATAAAAATCCTTTATATAAAGATCAATTTCATGTAGTGTAGATGAATGTAATACAATCTCACAAGCTCTATATTTATCTATAAGAAAATGTTTAAGCTTAGTAATTCACTTATCCAATTAATTTCTGTTGACATCTAACAGCAGTGTTTTGAATGATTTAAACTGAAGTTTTCTAACATAGAGGAAGACCATAAAAACTATATATAATATAATAAGTTTTGTGCCATTTAGTAGGAACAAGGAATGTCGTTCGACAATTCGTTTATTTTGTAACCAGTCAGATAAAAAACCATCAGACTGTCAGTGTATACCATATTGAGAGAAGTCAGGAATAAGCAATTGTAGTTATTGATTATCACCATGGTGGCTAGCCTTAGTTACCATACATCATCGGTTCGACAAGATGAAATTAGCTGAGTGAATAGTAAGGAACTTGAGATAATTTTAGTAGAAATTATAGTGAGAAAGTCTGAACATTAAGAATATGACTCAGGAGAGAGGAATGATAAGGTCACATAATCATTTAGTTTCATTGACTAAACAGTAGAGATCAATTATATATAGTTGAATTCACGAATCGATCTCAGATAGACCACCAGTGAGAACCTGGAAGCACTGGACGGCCGTTTTGTCCCAGTATGGGGCTCCCCAGCAGTGCGCATCAGCGATCCTGCACTTGATATCCGAACCCATTACCATCTGTCTCACGCGCAAACGCTTAACCTATGAACCACTGGGCCGGTATCTAACACTGTTAACGTTCAACTTCAATCGATCCATGATCTTGCGCAAACATTCAAACATTATCTGAGGTGGATAATTGTCTCATACCTGACACGGATTGGACTCCATTGGTCACGGCTTCTCACCAAAATTCTAAGAAATCCATCTTGAAGCTGGTCAAATATTGTATATTTCGCGTACACCCTACATCATAAGTTAATAATGTATTGAGTTTATATAGAAATCTATTGAGAGTAAGTACATCCAATGTCAGGATAAACCATAAACTTTAAGTTCATATAGCTAAGCTTCAAAATAATTTCGGCAATTTTTACTTGGCGCCCAATTTCTGTCAAATTATTAGTTCTAATCTTGACGAATATTCGTATGAATTTCTACTTAAATTATTAAGCGAAATATCAAGAACATATAACGTGAATTGCTTCATTGATTTTTGTATAGACGTTGAAAACCTAGATCCCAAAATTCAAAGCCCAAAGATAGAATTTCTAGTTATTTCACGTTTATGTGTAGTAAAAAATTAATGTGTAAATTAAAAAAAACCGTAAAACAATTTCACTCTAAAGCAGATTACTTGACTACAGGTCTAGCTCGTAGCACTGCAACAGAGCTAGACAAAGCTGCTCCAATCGCCATATCCGGATAACCATTTTCATCTAAGTCGGCACCATTCAATCCAAGTGAAAATCCGAATCCTTCTAATGGTCTTGGACTTTGCAAATCATTTGCACAGATTATCTATGTTAATTTCAATAATAGAAATAAGAAAATATGACATACCAAAATCTCACACAAAACAATAAATATACAAGCTGTGATATCCCAATGAGTAGAAAATTGTATTTCGGACGTTTTGTGACTTAATGTCAGCCACTTCTTCAGAGTAAATAAATAAATAGCATATTTTCTACAAAAAACGTTCTACTCAATGCTCAGTTTATTTGAAACTATCAAGTTCAACCTTGACATTGATACCTACAAACTAACACAAATCGTTTAAGCTTTTAACGTTGACAGACAGTTTAGACCCCTACATCTGTATCAAATAGCAATGAGGGACAGTAAAATCAATTATAGATCAATCAGTGACATCAAGGCAATTTTCCTGCAGTCTTACAAATTACTTGAATTATATCACCTATAATATGTAACAATTACAAACCCAATACAGTCACAAAGTTGATCAGTACAAAATTTCAGTCCTAAAAGAAGGATATTTGGAATGAAATAAAATCTGTAACGGAAACATTCTAAAACTTTGAGAACATGTAAGTATCATATGACAACTTTACAAAGTACTTTATTTTTTAAAAAAAAACAACTCCAAAAAGCACATCAGAGCAGCATACATAATTATTAATTATGAAGTGATTAAATTTAGGGTTCTCTAAGAATTTCTGTAAAAAATTGTTCTATTTTGTATGCTTCTAGAATACTAACTGAGTTATAATCATAATCTTGTTTTCTAAATATGTTGATGTTTATCCACGTAGTAAAAAGAACCAGTTTTGAAAATAAAACAATTCAATATCATGATAAATTATGTATGAAACTGACGGTAGTGAGGAAGATTAGGGTAAGATAATGTCTACTATTCGGTAACTGATCTGTCCATTACCTGTAAGAGACATTTCCTAATAAAAATTTATAAGAATAATGATTCTATGACAGAATCGATTATTGAAAGCTTATATTGTGATGTGTGCTACTGGTATTGACAGATATAAGTAGTATGTATCATCAATAGAAAGTGAAATGCCTGGTGGCAGAAGGTTGAGAAGTTCGAAGAAAAGAGAATGAGAACAGTGATTGATTGCTGTGGAAATCAAAGAACAGTGAAGTCTGAGAGGATTGATTGACATTTGCAAAAGGAACAATCAAGTTTGAGAGAATTTGTTGACATTTTGTAAATGAACTATTTACTGTACGATTCTCAGATTTTACTAAGATGTTCTGTAATATTGTGTTCAAGCACATTCGATTGTCTCCACTTGTGTTCTCGTTCACTACAAAAAACATTATTACCATTGAATCTGAAAAGGTACTTCGTCCAAGAACACTAAGAAATACAACAGTTAAAGTGTGAATAATCTTATTGGCTAACTCCAGTTATTTGGTTCCCTCATTTCAGTTTTCTCTTAAAACTAGTCTAATAAATCCATTAAGGAAATAACCCATGAGGTGTTGACCACAAAATAGTCTAAAAAACGATATATCAAATCAAACCAAAACACGAGTTACTGACCTTCGTTTCAAAACCACAAAACACATTTATTTACGTAATACACATTCGACACCGTGATATAAACCTGTTGCTTTCAATAAGGAGAGCTTTTAGATGTTAGAATATTTAAATTGTGGGCAAGTAAGTGTGCGCCAAAACGTCTTCGCTTTTGACTAACTTTGATAAAGCCATTCTAGTTTTCCTTAACTTTACGTGTAGATTTTGTTTCAAGAGTAGATTTTCAGTGTGTTATTCATTACACCATGTTCTAGAAGTTTGTATCATGGTATCTAAGGTTTTCTTTATTGAGGACACAGTTTATTGATTATCATTTATGACGGTTAATCAAAACATCAAGGTTAAATTGATAATCAGTAAACTGTAGTCTATTTGTTTGTAAAACAATTAGTTTTAATTTGTTATGATTTGAAACACTATGAAATAGTTTATTAATTGTTTTAATTAAATTCATCACTTTACTATGACATTAAGAAGTAAGCATTATTTAAATAATTTATCAGTATATGTGACAATCAATGGATAAAGTTTGTGGCTAAATTCTACTTGTATGTCTATCATAATTTACAGACAACATACGGCATAAATCATCCGAAAATTAAGAAATATTTATGTGCTAGCAACTAAGTTAATTAACAGACTTTTCAGTGTGATAAGACGGTGGTTGGGGGTAGTCAACTGGAAACTCTGAATCTAGGTTTCGTGCTATTTGGTACTCGTCAGCAAGGTGTACCTGCAATCTTGAGGGAACTGATGCTCCCTAATGGATTCGATCCCGTATCACCCAGCTTCACAGTCAGAGACGTTATCACTAAGCTATCCGGGCCGCGACTAATCTTTTGTAGGACTGAGATTTATTTAAAAGTGCCAAGTAGCACGAAACCTAGGTTCAGGGTTTCCTGTTGACTACCTCCAACCACCATCTTATCTCAATATAGTGCACGCAACGTCGAATCACACAGACTAGTGGCTACACTGCAACTTAGTCGATAGGATTCGGTCTGCACTAAGAAGGACATACATGACATTGATCACCACCCAGTGATCAATCAATTGTAAATTTTTACTGTCAACATTTCAACTTATATCGGACTAATGAATACACTTCCAGGTAATATACATTGAACTGATGATGGGATAAACAGTAGTATTCATATGGTTTTGTTAGGTGTTAAACTATTTTTGAAGACATGAATTTCAGGTAATTATTAATCAATAAATTAAGCTTGAAAACCAGTAAGAAACCTATGGAAACTACTCTACCAAGAACGATGACTTCAATTTTAGAGTAATTTGCTTCTTATCAATAAGTCATAGGTTGTAACCCTACTTTGTTCAGTTTAGTTTATGCAGTCGTATAGAATGATTATTTCTCACACAAATAACATGGTTCGAAGCTGACTAAATAAGTTTGAACTTGTTAGTTGTGTTATATCAGTAATCAAATGAACTATGAAAAGATTATAATGATGATCCGATAATTTAAGAGTTCAAATCTAAGAAAACAATAAAGTTCTATAAAGTATTAGTTATTACTTACTTTAACATTTACTAACTGTTTGACTGATGTATAACTTTTACAGTATAAGCATTCATATTTAAACAATTAGACATATAAATTAAATTCACCGATTGTTTATCTATTCATTCGGTAAAATTAATGTGTCAAAATAAATTAATTGAAAACAAAAAGTATAGTTGAATATCATTTTACAAAAGTAACACATCTTATTCAATGAATGAATAATTCAATTGTACACATTATTCATACAAACAAAAATCAAATTGATACTACTGAATAAAAACAAAAAAACAAAAACAAAATAGAATTAAAACATTGAAAGACTGAATTTATTGTGTAAATATGTGTGGGTTTTTTTATGTGGAATAAAATTTCAATGGTTAAGATCATGAGTCAGTTGAAGCTAGAACACCATGGAAAACCTGGAAGCACTGGGACTCCTCAGCAGTGCGCATTCACGACCGCGCCCCTTGCGAGATTCGAAATTACTATAATATCCACAAAACCCATCTGATATTAATCAACATATGCTCACTAATGACTGGCTTCAAGAGGTATATCTTGGAGTTATAGTGAGAAGTAGTGACGAGTGAAGTTCAGTCAGGTCTGTTGTGAGATAGTAACTCATTGAAGACAATGGTGGATGTGTCGCTTAATTTCGTGGATTAGTTAAAGTTAGACATTAACACCGTTGGATGCCAGTTCAGTGGTCTAGTGGTTAATTGCTCGTGCACGAAACCAGTAGGTCCTGGGTTCGAATCTCGTAGGGGGAGAGGTCATGGATGCGCACTGCTGAGAAGTCTCACAATAGGGCGAAACGGCCGTCCAGTGCTTCCAGGTTTCCCATGGTGGTCTAACTTCAATTGACTCATGATCTTAACCATTGAAATTATTATAATATCCATAAAACCCATCTGATAGAATAAAATTATTTGTAATTTGATCATTTATATAATGACTATAATGAGTGTAAAATTTTTTTCAATTTTACAAGACTATTATCATTTAATTTTTTGAACGATAAGCTGGTTATTGTGTACTGTTTGACAGTAGTGATGTATTATATTATTATTCTAGATGTAAAAAGAAAAATGCAAGATTTAATTAATTAAATGTATTCTGTGGATGGTGAAATTTCTTGCCTAGTGGTAACTATTAAATAGTGAGGACAAAAAGTCAAACTTTTCCGATACTACTTAAATCATATTGGATTTAGTTTGTCAAAAAAAAGAAAGTACTTAGGAATGTATCTGATTTTGAATTGTTATATCTTATTGATTGTGTTTTAAACCTCCTTAGATGTCAAGTAGTTATTTGTATTACTTTTGGTTTATGATTATTGCGTAGTATTAAATAATTGGCGGCTAGTGTAGTTTAACAACGACATTATTTCGAACTCGTTTGTTTAAATAATTATTTTCTGGTTGACTTGATTTGACCATAGTTTATGTACAAGTTAGGGCAAAGAGATATTCTACGGTTGTTAGATTTTATGTTTTTTAGCTTTGACTAGTTATAATTAGTTATGATAACACAATAAAATTTTACTAATGATCTTCATATTATGCTTATCCGTAATTGTGATATGGTTATGATTGAATCATTGAGAGCGAAAGAACACAACCTGTTTTATTTCACAGTCCTTATCTAGAATTCTTTACAATGGAACTAAATTTTCATTTGATTGCTAACCGTTATTATTTCAGCAATTCTGATAGTATAAGCAATGATACAGACAATTTAGTGATCAATTCTTATGTAAGTAATATGAGATTCAGTGGTTCAGCTAAATATTATAATTGAGATGATTTAATACAATGAAAATGCAAACTGAAGACAAGTTTTGTAATGGAGAGCATTTATACGATGAATTAATATGAAAATTCTGCAGACGTTTCTACTCGTTTGTACTTGTGACTAATAATTATGACATTTCAATTTATATTGGTTACTTTGTACTCATTCAGTTGACTA